CCCAACCGGTGGCAGGTGGACTCGTAAGGTAAAAAAGAAAATTAGGTCAATGAAAATAATTCGTGTACGTGGTGGAAAGTTTCTCACGCCAGAGTGGCTGACGTGGAGACCACGCTCCAAGACTTGGGGGGGACATTAACGAACTTCCACTACCTCTTCTAGATACACTGTCTACTTTTATTGTGGAATCAATAACTACTTTATAAACCTCTTTTTATTAATTTAATATTAATATATTACCATTAATTATGTTTAGTTTAGCCGTGATTTTCTTTTTAAAATACCCTTTTTAACCTTCCCCACGTGTTCCATCATTTCCTAATTAGTAATTACACCTCTTTAATTAAGTTATATTGTTATTATCTTCCTAGATAACATGGTCAACTCATTTAACAATTCTGATATGTAGAAGGGTTTACAAGCTAGTTTGATTAAGAAATTTGTGATTAAGAAAATTGATTAAACGGATACGTTTCTTCGAAATGTTGGTACATATTTTGTCTCATGGACTTGATTTTTGCGCCTCACTCGAAATAAGTTTAGAGTCCAATTGACGGTGTAACATGGTTCAATTTTTACAATTACTTAAGTTGTTTTAGAGTTTAATTTTTGCATTTTACCCCAAATTATGATACAACACATGTGACCTATATCATATCAAATTTAGTTCGAAGCATTTTTTCTCTTTTTTTGTTAACTTTTATCTAGAACCCAATTGTGAGGAGTTCATATAAAGATTGTTTAAAAATTAAGTTATGAAAACACTTCTAAGGTGACATCCTTATGTAATTTGCATTATATACATGATATAAACAATTAAATTATCAAATTACATATATTAAAGCTACTTATAAACCTATCTCAAAAAAAAAAAAAAGGGTCTACCTATAAATCCTCTGCACTACATACATAGCCATATCTTTCATCATTAAAACACATTCATTTTATAATCACGCAACTTTGGGTTTAAAAAGAATAATAATGGGATTCGATTGGTGTGACAAGTTAAGGGGAGATTAATTAGCTTGTAACAAAATTTTAATATGTTTATGACCAACCCAAACAAAGTAGGAACAAAAGGCAATGCACCCATTTGGAAAAAAAAGCAGGCCAAGATTCCAATGTACTTCAAATAATTAATTAATCCATAGGTGGCTGTTGGGTATCTCCAAAACACGTAGCACACACGATTAATTTATTTACAACTATTAAATCCACTTCCCAAAATCTCACCATTTTTTTCCAACCACTTCCCTAATTTGTCAGCACATTAAAAAAAATTTTAAATTTAAATATTATTCTAATTGATGTACCCTTGTTTCGTTTTCATCCCTTTAATATTAAAATATTCATTTTAATCAATGTATTTTATATATTTGTTAGGTCTATTTTAGTCCGTATATTTTTTTAAAATTATTATTTTACGGTCTTCAGATTTCATTTTTTTTATCAATTAGTTCAAAACAAATATTTTAAATGTAGTCTTATTAAAAGATTTTCATTTTATAAATTGAGACTAAAATGAACAATTTTAGAAATACAAATATAAAAATACACGTTTTCGTTTTAAAAGTACATGATTACAAAATAATATTTAAATAAAAAAAGGAAAACTAAATTATTATTTTAAGCAACGTACGACCAGATGTTGCAGTGAGAAGCCGGATGAAGGAGGGAATTATTTTATTTTATTTATGAGAAAATTAATTTAAAGTGACCGAAAGGAACAGTACGTCACGCGCTTTTCTCCGTAGCCGTTCGGTTTCTTCTTCTGACTGCTACCATAACATAACGATACAACAACCTTCTGTTTGTACGGCGGAACACTACGATTTTTACCATACGGTCCTACTCCACGCGCCTGTGTCTTCCACGCCACGCGCTCCTCACGCCCCCTCTTATCTACGTGGCTTTATGCAACGTTGACGAATTTACACCGTCCGATTCCCCTCCATTACCCGATCATTCCTATTGGTCCACGTCCGCAGATTTATTTTATTTCGTAGAATTGGTGTTTTGTTTTCGTTAATTTTCAAGTCAATGGTTGCGAATTGTGATAATAAGATTGGATTAATTTTCCACCTCAATATCCTATTATAATACTTTTCTTTGAATTTCAATTCAATATCCTATTAAATATTTAACAATTAAATAAAGAAAATGAAAAAAAAAGTACCATACTTTTTTAAAAATAATGAACAATCAAATTATTTTTGTTGGTGGTTAGTGTAAAAATGATACATCATTTGTCAAGGCTTAAGTATTTTCAGAAATTATTTGTCATATTAGGTATCTAATAATTTATTTTTCTAGTGCAACAAAATCAGTTAGAGATTCTAATTTGGCATCTAAATTAATGTTTTTTTCTATATAAATTTGTGACCTATTCATCAAAGATAGATGTTAATTATCACTGAACTGTATATGTTGGCACATCTTTAAATTTTGATAATATTCGCGTGGAGTATGACTTCAAATCCAAAAATTACCAATATCTTAAATTAACTAATCTACAAAAATCTGAACCTATATATAATAATTAAAATGGTCACAATTCACATTGAACAATTAATTTATACTTTTCAAATAGGTATATTTCAAATTGCTCATAAGAAAACCAAAAAAAAAAAAAAAGAAATAGAGGAAAAATTATATCATTGTCTAAAAAACTCCGTCTCCCATGGAGTGAAATTTCTCTCT